GGGGGGGGGGGTGGTATTAACTATAATTGTATCATTTTACCTGTTGAGCAGCCATAGCAGTAAAATCAGGTAATTCTTCTCTATCCTCAGCTGCTGCTCTCTCATCTTCTAGCTGTTCCACTGTTTTTTCTACCTGCTAAATAAATACTAATGTATTTTATGTTTTTCCAACGTATTATTTGCCGCAATCTTAACATCCATATCAATAAGACAACAGCAGATAAACAAAATGAGCATTTTGATGTAGAAAAATGTACAGTTAAGATATAATTGCAAATTAAGACATAAATGCAATATAAACAAAGTCTCGCCATTACGTACTACAGATCCTGCAGTTGCTGGAGTAACAATTTCATAATCTATGCTCTTTATTTCCATAGATGCAGCAGCAATAGCACTGGAGTCATCAATATTAGCAGGCAGAGATGTAACCACCTAATCAATATCGCAAACTTGTAGAAACTCTCGATGAAGAGTAACAAAAAAAAAGGAAAATACTCTGAATATTTTTTGTATCGAATGAATGAGCAATTAATTGCAGCTTATAACGTCGTAATTAAATTAATGATTGAAAAGCTGGCAATTATAAATATATATACAGGGTGTCTCAGACCTCCATGATGACCCTTTGTGAGAACGTAGAACGGATTGAGATGAGCAAGAAAGTCCTGTGTTGTTTTGCGATATTCGCAATAATAGTAGAGATATTGATTTAAAAAATTGATGAATGATCGCGCGCAATATGGTAGATGAGCAGTGGCGCTGTCTGCCGTTGTTATACATTAAATTAAACTGAACAAAAAAGTCCTTTACCATTTTGTAAATGATTTTTAGATATTAATTAAAGAAAATTTGTGTATTATATATGTATACAATTATATATATAACAATTTTCTTTAATATTTAAAAATCTATGTGGTCATTTGCAAAATGGTAAAGGACTTTTTTGTTCAATTTGATTTAATACGTTCTACGTTCTACAACGTTCCATAGAAGGAGGGCATACTAGGTGGCGGCGGGACGCCATGCGTTCGAGATCTGCGTATCTTTTTCGTTCCAGAAAGAGAAAAATATTGAGAGCGCGGTCCTGCTAGGCCAGGACTCGAACCCGGGTCTTTCGCTTGCCGGGCGACTGCTCTAAACCACTGAGCTACCTGACGCTCCACGCTCACGACACTCTCCTCTTCCTAGATAACGCTCAGAGATGCCGTTCCTCAAAAGGTTATCATGGAGGTCTAAGATTCTGTGTGTGTGTGTGTGTGTGTGTGTGTGTGTGTGTGTGTGTTCGTGTCATACCTCATGAGGAGCGTCACACTTTTCTACATAATTAGACGGAAAAATTCCAGTTTTATCCCCTATACAACCAGTCCACCAATCTCCTTCCTTTTTTGTAACCAATACAACTTCTCCTTGATTAAAGTTAAGATCGCCAGTTTCTGTCGATGCGTATCGGTAAAGTGCAACGTAATATTCATTAAGGCCATCAGCCGATTCATATGATACAGTATCTTTGTTGCTCGTACTTGTCTCTTTAACATACGACTTGGGGAACCAACCCTTGTTTTCAGTATTGGTTGAACCATACCACCATTCACTCTGTACAAAGTAATTATTATTGTAATGTATAACATTTAATGAAACGCACGTTGCTTTCCATGTATAACATATATATATATATATATATACACACCTGCTGCTCGAAAACATGAATAGTCTCTCCTTTCTCAAAGCAAAGGTGTTGTTCCATGGTAGGTCGATATTGAAACAAAGCAACGGCTTGTATGTCACAAGATGTGCCTAATCCTAAAGTGGGTACAATGGCTTCCACTACTGGAGCTTCGCCCGCTAAGGATCCTGCATCGGATACGTTTTCTGGAACTTCCGCTATACCCCTGTAATCGAAAATTATACTGAGAATACACACAAATCAAGAGACAGGTAAACTCTTGGTGTTGTAAATAACAGTACAGATAACAGTACAGTAAAAATAACTGACTCTAATGTTCTCTTCTCTACACTGTCTTGCTGTATGAAAGCGCGTTCGTTGTCAGAAACAACTGCAGCACCACCATCAACTGGCTCCACATAGGATTCAGGAAACCAACCGGTGTGACCGCGTATTTCCCCCGCCATCCATCCTGGCTCGGCGTTTTGCACAGGTGGTACCTATAATATTATCCAATCATGTAAAATTTATCGCATAAAAATCTTGATAGTTAACCGATAGAAATAATATTCCCGTTTGAATTAATTACCAGTATAATATCACCAGGTTGAAACGAAATTTCGTCTTGGTTTCGTGCTACGAATTCATAAAGAGCTCTGTATTTGGCGACACCAGTGATAGCAGTTTCATCCACGGCATTTGTCGCTAAAGCAGTGTCATTGGCGGGCCAAGCTGTGTCGTCACTGGCTGCAGTGGGCGCATCATTCCAAGCGCTATCACCCCAAGCGGATGTAGCAAAATCGGCGGACGAAACGCTACCGCTGCTTGCCCTGAGTTCGACCACTTTTCTCTTCTTTTCGTCGAAAGTAATATATAGCTGTTTACAATCTACTATTAGATTTTTCATTTGCGTCTTAATGTCTTCGAGTTGAGCATTATTATTTTCAATGTCAGACATTTTCGAATCGATCTGTTAAAAAAGAAAAAGATTTGATTTCGAGAGATATTAATATTTGTTGGAATTAAATATTTATTTAATATTTATTACTAAACATCACCTGTTGCTGCAAATCTAAAATCTTATCTTTCATTTGCTTAAGAGTAATTTGCTTATTGTCGAATGCCATTTTAATAGCCTCTTGCCCAGCGGCATCTTGAGCTGAATTGATCTTATTTTTTGCTTCAATGCGTGCTTTTTCTTGACTCAACGCTAACAATCTCTGATTTTGTTCTCGAAGTTTATTTTTCAAAGTGGCCATTTCTTGTAATTGCGTATCCCGCGTTGATCTCATGCCGTCGATAGTTGTCTTAACACCTGAGACTCCTACCCGAGTATCGCAAATCTTTTGCGACAATTCTTTCACCTTATCATTCTGAAAGATAAGGAAAAACATGACAACATGTCTTAATCAATTAAGGGTCCTTGGCGTACTTACAAGTGTTCCGAGTTCAATGGTCAAGGTCTGATTCTTTGCTTTTAACTTGAGGAGAACATCTTGTTCTTTTTGTCTTTGAGCTTGTAACTCTTGCGATTTTTGTCGTTCCCATTCTAATTGTCGTTGTCTTTCCATTTCCCTATATATCATAAAATAATGCTACTTTAGAGAAACTGTATTGATTTGTATAACAATTAATTTTGTCCTTTGTAGTTCAATAGCGAGTTTAGTAAAAAGTGAAACATTTACTTCCGTGCTGCTTCTCTTTGTTCTTGTGCGCGTTTTCGTTGTTCTTCCTTTTCCTGTTCAATTTCTTTTTGCCTCAACATTTGTTTCTCGATTTCTGCTTGTCTTCGTCTTTCCTGCTCCAGTCTGTATCATCACAAAACGCGATGTTTTCCTACATTGTTGAGAACAATTATCTATTCGATAAATGATGCCACTTGCCTTATTTTCTCTTGTTTCTCGGCCTCTTCCCTCTCTTTTCGTTCTCGCTCTTCTTGTTCTTTTCGCTGAATCTCTAATAACGCCTTACGTCTGCGTTCTAATTCTGCCTGACCTTTCTCAAAATTCTCCTTACGCTTATCTTCAAATGAAGTCTGTAAAAAGATGTATTTTTACTTGCTTTAAGTTTTTTGTCACAAAAAAAATCAATTCCGAGCAACGTTAATCGATTCTACACACACGCACGCACACACCACACCCACACATACCCACTTAATTGTGAATAAACATAAATACGCAATTGTGTATACACATATACATACCTGTGGCATGCCTGCTAACGGATCAATGTTCTCTGTCGCGTTTTGGGACAGCGTTAAACTGCTTTGACGCTGCCGTCTAAATGTAGGTGGAATGAGTTCTGGCGGGAGCGTTGGAAGTATTTTTTCACCTGCTTTAGCGACATCACAAAGGTGCATCGCAAGTACAAATTCTTCGGAACCTAAACGTCCATCCGAATCCATGTCAGCTAGAGCCCTGTTAACATATATTTGAACATTCGCGCTCTCCTTTTCAAAAGTACAGGAGAAATTGAGAAAACGCTATTTCATTATTCTACTATATATACCATATTTGAGCGAGTATAGACTGCGGTAATTGCGACTGCACCATAATGTTTCTTGCTTGAGGTCCGGACAAAAAGCCAGATCTAGTTCTGTCCCAAGTATTAAATAATTGAGTATATTTTAGTTTGGTTTGATGTGGTACCGCCCACTCTGTGGATTGTGGGGAACCGACAGAGTGTTGGCTATGCTGTGAATCCATTGAGCCTACTCTATCTATACTCGGTGGACGTGCTGTTGTGCTTAACGGAGTATTTGTAGATACCGGCGTTTGCGTAATAGCGCCATTAACCAGTGTGCCGTTATTTGCAGTTGTCGAGGATGCTAATGGTAATGTTACTGATGTAGCAACTCCAGTGCCTAATAAAGAACATTAAATTTGTTGACAATCGAATTACTATCGTAATAGATGCAAGTAAACTCACGAAACATTGTTTTGCAGTTTAGTATATACCAGTATTTATTGATCCAATGGTTGGCATAACGGTATGAGTTCCGCTCATAGGAGCAACCACACCCGTACACAATGGTTGTGTCGGTAATGCTTGTGCCATATTGAAGGCAGTCATTGATATAGGATTTGTGTTTAAAGAAGCAATTGATGCTACCGTTGGAATACCTTGATTAGCAAAACAAATTACATTAAATATACTGACGAAAAGGAATCTTGTAGAGCCTTTCTAGCCTTTCGCATCAGGTCGAATGATGGTCTCAATGGTCAATCGACAAATATACAGCGCTAAATAATGTATGTCCGCCATTTCCGAAGCGCATTCCTAGCCGAAATATTAATTAATTTCTTACCCACAGTAGAAGCAGATACAGATGGAACCGAAGAAGCTACTGACGCACCAGCAACGGAAGATGAAACTTTTATCGGCGAAATCCCTGTTGCAACAGGACTGTTTGGAAACGAAGGTGGTGCTGGTTTTGGTGGCGGGTGACCACTTGTCGCGGGTGTAAAGTTACTTCCTAAAATATATAATATAATTTTACATCTACTTTCGATTGGACACTAAATACTAATCAAATTTTACATATGTAAACACCGCGTATAGTAAATACATTGCAGCGATAACAATACAGATTTGCTCATACCGATATTTGCAGGTGGTGCAGGCCTTTGCGGGGGACCACTTGCGGTATTCAGAGAAGACGCGACTCCTATTTTACCATATGAAAAGTAAAAGTGTTATCAAAGATATAGTATCGAAAACAAATAAATGCAGATATTAAAACTACGTAAACAATTATCGTAAACAAAAACATATAAAGTATATGACAGGTGCATTAAATGAGAATATATAATTCTTGATAAACGAAAATTCTGCCCCTGTAATTACAAGATAATATTACGATCTTTCTAATTTACGGACAATCGTAGCATTTTAACGTGGTTTATCAACAAGATCATATTTACTTCTATATTGAAATATTTAAACAAATTTTCTATCTTTTAGAATAAATATAAAAGACAACATGTCATTTATACAATGTATATAAGTAATAAAAAAAGAAAGCAACAGTAATTATGGCGCAAATGTGAGTTTCTTTTCTCTTAAATAATGTCCTCAGTCTGTGGAGAAAATTATTACATCAAAAAGATTTAGAACCATCCTAATTCCTACACATTGCAACACAAAACGGAATATTGTGTCAGCATAAAAGATACTAGTTACAGGGATTGAATTGCGTACTTTTACAGAAAAACTGCTGCAATATAAAACGTTACATATGGATTTCAGTAAAATATAAACTCATTTCTTAAAACCACTTCTATATCAAATTAGGTATGGGTATATTTTATGATCATTACATGAATTCGTATTCAGAAATATCTTTTCTTTTTTCTCTCTCTCTCTCTCTCTCTCTCTCTCTCTCTCTCCCTCTGGTTACTATTTTATAGAAATTTAGCAAGGAATCTGTGATAAGAGTCTAGAATTGCTTCAATTTCTCTTGAAATATGATGTTAAATACAATAATCTAAAAAACACATATTGTTTGTTTCATGCTTACCTATCTTGAGATTTAAAAGAATGAAAAACAATCCTGCAAAGCTAATTCTATATAATTGATTATAAGCGAGTATCTTAGAAAATACACGGAAATACTAAATAAAAGTGTTATTTAATTCATTGTAAAATTATGCTTTCAAGTAAAAAAAGAAACAAGTCGACAACAATTTCCCAATACATCCCTACTGTCAATATTTATGCGAAATTTAAAATAATTTTAAACAAATATATAATATATAACAACATTATGTTTTAAATCATAGCACTCTGTTAAGCCATCAGATTAAAGCTTCAAAAAAGGACATAAATTGACGTATACACATACAAAACATTTAGTATAGTTGACATACCCACAGAAGGTGGCACAGGTCGAGCAGGTGGCTTTGACGGTGTATGAATTGTGGCGTGTATCGCAGCAACATTCTGTCTACTTTGTTGTAATGCTGTGTAGTATGATGTATTATGAATAACATATTGTAGATAACTTATGTTTGATAATTAATGTTTTGTGGTAAAATAAATTTATTTCAATAGTAGATATTATGATAATACAAAATTGTTGAATACCAAAAGTGTGTGTATGTGTATGTTTGTGTAAATGTAAGTATATGTATTGTAGCCATGTTTGATATATATCTGATCTAATCTAAAAAACATGGCAAATCTTACTTGAGAAAAAGTATGCGTACTGCAAGAAGAAACACGTGTGCTCTCAAAAAAATAATAATAAAAAATGTCTAGGATCTTTATAAATTAAAAACTTATCCTCTCTGGTACTGTAAAAACGTCGAATATATATAACTAGTCCGCAAAGTTGATTGAAGATTAAGGTATAATAACTGATAATATAAAAAACAAATATTTAATAATATATTACCTATAAGGGGATGCGATGTACTTCCAGGTGCAGATACTACGTTTGCTACAGTTTGAGATACCATTGCCTGATGTCCACTTAAATTCACTAAAGAACCGATGTTATTCGGAGACGAAACATTTGATCCATTTGTCAAACCAGTCAGACTGGTATCACCTTAAATGACACTTGAAATATAATATTATGTATTCTATATAAGCGCATATACATCTCAACTCACCAGTTGAAAAAGATTTCAAACTTTGTATAAGAACAGGTGGTAATGTTTTAGGAATTTCAAAACCACGTAATTTCAAATTAATTAACTTGCACGCAATGCTGAACTCATTTATATCCATTTTTCCATCAGCATCTGTATCCGATAATGCCCTGCGAGATACAAAAGAATTGTTAGATTTACCTTTCAGGTTGGAGTCACGTTTTTGTAAAATTATTTTCAACATTTTATGAACATTTCAATTCATTTCATCAAGCATCCTGATGCTGAATTGTTCCTCAGATATTCTCTTACAAATGAGTAGATGGTGACTAATTGAGAGGAGGAAGAGGGAGACAGAAAAAAATATTTCATTAATCAAACATCTTCAAGAAGTTGAATATTCAAGAAACAGGAAGAGTGGATTGCCAAATTATGCTTTTGGTTTTTTGTCTATTATCTCTGCTATAATTGTTGGGATGTTTATAAAATGTTAAGAATTCTTTCTGTAGTTCTTTCTTTTTAGAGAAGTAGACGGTTAGCCTTAATCAAAACTGATGTTTGATCAAATAGGAAAATTTGTGTCTAATTTCTACTTTGTGTTTTGATAGCGCTGATTGTGTTATGTGTTTGAGTCTGACGTTTGTTCTGTGGTTTGGTTTATATATTAGATATCTTACATTGGGTTCTACTTTAATGTTTTCGTTTTGTTTGTCATAGAATATATTTGTTTTATCGCAGTATGTTTCTTAATTCTTTGTTTTAGATGCTGTCTTGTATCCCCTTGTGTCTTGTGTCACCATAAATGGTGAAAACTCTGTATATTCAAAGTAACTGGAGACAATTCTTATGTTAAATAGTATTCTTACCATATCTGTCCAAGAATAGCAGGTTGAAGTTGGGATCGAAGAAGAAATCCTTTAGCTTGTTCTCCGGTAACAATTCCATTACTTGGTTTCAAAGAATCAAACTGCTCTTGGTATCTCATTCTTTCTCTAGGTTGTATTACCCAAGGGTCTATACCTATATAATAAGAAATACAGATGTATATTTAGAACAAATATGCATTGTAACTTATGTTAAATTCACTAATTTATGAAAATACAGCTTATTTAAACTTATTTAAACCATTGAAAATCTTGCTAGTATTAATATCGATTCAACATGTTAGTCCAAGAAGAATAATGCGTGTTACAAATGACAAAAGTGATATCGCACAATCTGTTGAACAATAACAGACATAAATATCAATATACTACTGATAATGCAAAAATCTATAAAATTCACCTGGAGTTTGGGGAGTAACCATGTTGAGTTTACTTCAAGGTTAGGTCAGGACGGTCGATCTTTGTTACGATTTTGCAACCAGATTTATCTAGCAGCAGCAAAGTCATAAAAAATAAAGATATAAATTGATTACAATCGTGAACCAAGTAATGGTGATGATAATGCTTAAGATAAAGTGGAAAATGCAATTATAATTTGTTATAAATATGTGTGTGTGTGTGAGAAAGAGAGAGAGAGAGAGAGAGAGAGAATACAAAGAATGCGAATGTTCACGAAACGTTAAATCAATTGCTGTAAAATTTACGCGTGCACAACCTATTCTTACAACTAATCACCAATCGTTCCGCCCACCGCCTATCATCTCTTAGTTATTATGTTATTGTATCATATATCATGTATCGTCCAACACTATCATCTTCTACAACCTGACGTCTATCGTCAATCGTTCATCGTCCACCATCTACATGTTCATCTATCGTTTAGCATAAACTGTCATCGTCTATCGTTTTAACATAGATATATCGAAATGATAGACGACCCTTTTGCACAACAAATGGGACAAAAGCTTGCAAATGATTATATAGCGCGGTCACGATGTTAAAACGCGGCGAATAAGTTCGAGTTGATCCACAGTGAGCACCAGGCTAACACCTTACGAAGCTCATCGACTCACCATTCACCAGCTCTTACCACTCCTAACCGCTAGTGTACTGTTCACATACACTGTACGTCACTTTTGCCAGTTCGGTTACTTTCGGGACTCTTCGGCAAGAATCGATATCCCGCCTCTAAGGACAATTCTATGATCAGCCGACACAAAGATCGTCGGTTCCTTGTTGCACGTTTGAACGACAATTCGAAATATTAACAGTAGCGTAAATTTTTGTTGTCGAGAATGAAAATTAAATGCAAATTGCAAGATGGTATTATGCGAGAATAAACTCACAAAATATACAATAAATCAATCGTAAGTCAAAATTGAAAATTAAAGACAATTATTTGATCATTCTATTTCCTTATTATAAGCAAACTTTGTGTGTATAAATAAATACAAGTTTAAATTAATTTACAACAACTCAATAATTGTAATTACATATAAAAACTTGTATATATACGTTAAAATTTCACTGCAATATCGTAATTCTTTCTTATCGGCTCTTTTCCACTTGATTGTATGTATCAAAGCTTATCAAAATATATTTTGTATTCGCGTAATTCGATTAAAAATGAATGTTTTAATAGATTTATTTGTAAATATATATATAATTTATAATATAATGGAAACATTGACAAATGTCGTTAAAGTTGAAAAGTAATTAAGAATGGGGATAGAGTAATCGATTTTACCCGAGTGTCTTGAATTTGAACTGCTATAGTGAGTAGCAATTTAGTACGAATTGTATCGAATTACAAGTGTCCGTGGCGCACGCGTCCTTGATGATTGATGTTCATGTACTACATATGCTCGTACACATATAAGCCAGAAATTGCAAAGCTACGTATCGTCGGCAGTTAAGTGTCCCCGCGAACGTTTACGAACCGACTCGGATCGTTTTCGGAGCTTTACAAGTTTTTGCAAAAACTATTGGTGCAACTCGTGTTATTCTTCATCAATGACTGCCTCTCTTTCTCTCTCCTTTCTTCTCCTTTTCTTCCTTCTTTCCCCCTCCGTCTCTTCCTCCTTCCTTAATTTTTTCGTCTACAATGATAACTCTTGTTATCATAATGTTTAACGAGTCCAATGAAAAGTACCAATAGAGTTGAATCGATAAGTGCACATTCGGCAAAACTCAATTCACATCATCCATTTTGATAAGCCTCGCAACGCGCAGCGAGATCTAATATAAACGAAATACGATAACGGCAAGCTCGTCATTAGACACTGAGTTTTCGAATGAGTGTGTGTACGTGGTGTTTTAGCGCCGCTTCGTCGACTTGGTCTTTGACATTGTGGCATATCCTTGATTTAAGGGTTGCACTCTCATCTGGAATTTAAGAACAGGTATTACTAATTAAGATTGGATATCAATTTGGTCAACATGCTTTCGCGTGTGTACATTCGTTACTATACTTCAGCTACAGCAAATTACTTGCAATCAATTTCATATTTATAAACAACTGCGCAGTACTTATCTATAAAGTTTTCTACGAAATAATATTTGCTCGTATTTGTGTGGTTGGATTGATCTTTAGTTCAATTAGTTTAGGTTAGGTTTATTACAATCCTTTGTTACATCAAATTAGAAATTATAGAGATAGACACTTTTTATCTTTTTCTGTTATAAGCTATTGTGTAAATTTATATACACATATCTCTCTCTCTCTCTCTCTCTCTCTCTCTCTCTCTCTTTCTCCTTCCCCTCCCTCTACATAGAAAAACGAATGCGTTGAGCAACATTTTATAAAACTGCTTCGCATCGGTCTTTTTTGGTGTTGCTTCACTTTTGACTTGATTATCAAAATATATAGTTACATATCAGTGACCGTAATTTTTTTCAGAACATTATTAATTAATCGTATTAATTTTTTTCTTTTTTTTGGCATACTAATAATACGACGACACACGTGACTATTACCACGTTGTATGAGTTAAGTTTAAGGAAAGAACGGAAAGTTGAAATCGTATTATATTTATTTTTGTACAACCTAAACTCAAAATAGCAGACATACGTAGAGAAAGGAAGACGATACATCAAGAATGTTGATACAAATTGAAAGTTTAACATTAAAATTATCGAGGAATGAGGGACTACTGAGAAAAAGGGACTTTTTGAAATAACAGTAACCATACTCCGTATTATGAGAAGAAAATCAAACAATGTTATGGTCGTGATAACGACGCAAAATAAAATGATATATTGATAATGGCACAATACAATCACGATAATCTTATGAACTGTCATCTCCGGTGGAAATGCGCGGATCTGTGTTCTCAACTCTGGCTTCGGCTTCGGCTTCAGCCCCGGCCTCGGTCTCGATTACGGCATTGGTTATAGCGACGGCTTCGACTTCGGCGCCATCTCCTGCGTCGGCGCCAACACCGGCGTCGGCATCAGCGCTCACGTTCTGGTTACAGCGCCGTCTCTGGGTATCGCGAACCCCGCAACAGCTAGCCAGCGCGAATTTTGCGAAGTCCTCGTGTGTACAGTACACGTGTCTGTTCGATACGCGTTAGTAAGTCACACAAAATTTCGCATTCTGATGATACAGAAAAGTGAATACGCGAGCCGGTATCGAAAATTGTGTAAAGTGTATATCGTTGCACTGCATATATCGTCGTGTCTTTTCTTCCGCAAAGGTTATCGATCAGCAGTGCTGCTGCGAAAGTGACCAGCCAGCCGGCATGGTGCATGGTATAGCCGCTGGGTCACGTGTACAATATGGAAAGCAACTAGCGTTCGGCGCTGCCGATAAAATCACGCCGCTAACAGATTCACGCAATCGATCGTGGGAACGTGCATTCGAGCGGGTAATTACATCATCATCATCATTTTTCTTGAGTTAATGTGGGTCATTGGCATTGCGCGCGTCATTAGTATCGCGTCGTGTGAATGGCGATTTAGTGAAAACGCCATTTGCCGCTACTGTACAGCGCTCATCATCGTACACGGGTTATACATGCTTCTTTTTTAAAGGCAATTCAAGTGTTGACGGAATAAAGAATATTGTTCTCTCGATACATTAGTAGTAGATATAAATTCATTAAACTTGTATATCACTCGAATGGGGAAAGGCAAGCGAATTTAATATCATACATTATGTATTCATTAATGTATATCTGTTTCGACGTAAATTTTTCAAGTTGTGCACTATTTTGTGTCGTGTATGTAATAATGCCTGTAAGACGAATCTAGTCTCAAGGCTGCCATTTCTTATTACGCAAACAGCATAACAACTACGGAACTTGCGGTAAATAAATGGAAATAAACACAACTCAGCAATATGCACGAATGAATGCAGCATATTACGGCACGTTACTAAATTCAGCTTTTACGTTTCACACCTCGAAAGATTCTCGATTCCCGCGATATTGACACAATGTCATCTCATTATCGTCCATCCACGCAATAAATATGCGCGATAACTTGATCATTCGTTTTAACATTTTAACGATAGCGAGATGTCCAAATAAAATTATAAGGAGCGCATTCACATGGTATTTTCTGACCTTAAATCCTCATAATACGCAGTTTTATTTTTCACGTAAGAAACATTTACGAAGCACCGCTTACACGTTGCGTCGCGACGTGTTGGCGGAATGCGTCGTTTGTTTGCAAATTAGCGGCGCCCTCACAATAACCTTAATAGGGGAAACCAGTTTATAAGCGTATACGTAAAATCTCATTTAAAAATAGTTATGTCAACGGACTGTTTTCTGTCAACGGACTGTTTTCTTTGCTTTAATATTTTTCTCTTAATATAATGAAAAATATTACTAAAAGACTCGTTTTTACGTATTTCCTTTTTATTATTTTCTATTTCTATGTAAAATTTGTCATTTCATTGTTCAATATTCATCAATTCGCATTCCAAATAGTACGGTTCAATTCGACCAAAGCAAAGCCAGAAGCTGCACGGAGATGAATCTCTTATCCTTGTAGCAAGGCTAAGGAGTGAGGTAAGGTGAGGTGGAGTGGAGTGAGTTGAGATGAGGAGAGGTGAAGCGAGGTAAAGCAAAGAATGGCAAAGTGTGGCGACACAGCACAGCGTGGCGCCCTTGCAAGGACAGCAACCTTTTTAGCATTTTTAAGCGTTCACTATGTGAATTCTCGATCTATTCCTCATTATAGGCGCGAGTATTTCACCGAACCAGCTAGACTAGACTAGCCGTTTTTGGCGTCGCGTATAAAAATGATTTATTGATCAGCATTTTTGCAAACTTATTGAACAACATTTTCTAATATTTCGCCATCTCACGTAGGTAGGCCTATGTACTAAATGATCATTTTCAGTAAACTCTGCCCATGCTGCACCGAAAACAATTCGTATCTCGTACAAATGTATACACATGATATATTTTCGTTAAGAACAAAGAACTATTTGCTCACCAGAGATATTATGCAGTTACGTATATGATTAAAAAACCTTGCTAGAGAAGCAAGAGTAAAGTAAATGAGGCAAGAGAGACACGCGTGGTCTTTTAGAAAGAAACAGTGAAAAAGAATTTCAGAAATGGTTTCATCCGTTTGGTGCGACTCTTTCGGCTCGACTCGGCTTAATTCGGCACGTCGGGGCAGTGATAGAGAAACGCGGAGAGCAACGATGTGTTCGTCTGTCACCCATGTTTTATCTTCTCCCTGCCACTTTCCTTAAGGAACGCACCCTTCTTCTTTCTTTCCTTCTTTCTTTCTTTCTTTCTTTCTTACTTCCTTCCTTCCATTCGCACTTGCGAGAAACCAGTTGTGATTTTTCTTGCGATAGGAACTAGAAACCGCTCCCTACTATAAATAGCTTTCGGGTTTACTCTCATGCCGCGATATCGGCCTTCGAAGCAATGGCGGCGGCAGCAGCGGTAGCAACGGCAACGGCTGCGACAACAGCAACAGAAGAGGAAACGGCGACGGCGGTGACGCCGACGACAGTGGTAGTAGCGGTGGAGGCAACTGTGTGACGGCGGCGACAGCGGCGACGGCGACTGTGGCGGCGGTAACAGTCAGCGGCACATCTAAATAATAATGCCAAAATACGTCTAACATTCATTTTTATTTCTTACAAATAACTTATTCATTTTTTCGTGGCTAAGATGGTGTCACACGACAAATAAATATACGCAAAAGTATATAACTAGAGTGTATAAATGAATATACAGGTACAGGATCCGTAGGACTTGGAGTGAGGAAAACGGGTAAGCATACAAACGCGCAATAAACAAGCCCGTCGCACGACGTACGTTGGAATTTTTACGAGATGAAAAGAAATAATGCTCTGTGTTGCGACTAATTATAGTCTTTTAACGAGCGAAAGTATATACAACACGACGACGATGAGCTTAACGTATGTGAGATTAAAGCAACTAATCGTCGAAACAATTTGTCTTTCTCGTGTGTTTGAAGAATTTCTTTAATTTTTTCAAATTTAGGTTTTGCAGTGTAATAATCAGAAATATAATGAGATTGTATACAAATATACTTGTATCGTATCGTTTGTTAAATATTTAAACGAATTATATAACAATTCAAGAGGAGAGAGGGGGAAGTGTGTCTTAAACTTTATTGAGTGTGACGAGAACTTTAAACGAGGGATTCGTTTAACGCGTATATACGTGACTTGTGAATAGTGCAATAGAGATTACGTCACTGTGCATCTAGTGATAACGCAATCTATTTAAGGAAGGACTAGTATCTGTCACTACTCGTTAGCATTCAAATAAGACAGAAAAAGAGAGAGAGAGGGGGGGAAGTGAGAGGAGGAGAGAGAAAGAATGATGAAAGAAGATATTCTATTTTATCTATAGTTTACAATATACTTACAGTTCAGTGTTAATCATATTTCATTTACATAGCTCATAAATTATCAATTTATTTGGCTCTTTACGGACAATTTTATCCCACGAAGGTCGTGTGACAAATATGTCGAGGAACTGTGATACTCCCGTGATGCGATGACATAGAGATAATATTGTAACAAAATTTCCAATTGAAAGACACATTACTGAAATCCGAAGGACGCAAAAAAGCGATATGTTGTAAAAGGCATGTCAAACGGAGTGCTTTATTAGCTGTTTCCTTGCTCCATCTTCCTACAATTTACAACACGTCTTATCTCGCATTGTCCAAAACAGTTCTCTGAGGGTGTGGGTCATGCAGATATTACACGAGGCGAATGTGTGTTGTACGATTGATTTAAAATCATCACGGAGGTCATAATGAATATCGCGCCATATGATATAATGTGCAATGTGTCAGAGATAAATCTGTGTATTGATAGAAAATTTTTCATACATGCTTTACGAATTAAAATAGCTATACTTGAAGGGCATATGGAACGATTCTTTTTCATTTTGGAAATTTTTCTTTTCGTATTTTATTTTTTGTCGTATTTATTATATTGACATCGTTGAATTTGTAATAACACGAGACAATGTACCAAACTATGTTTGTACAATTTTGTGTGACACGCCACTTATTTTAAGCTACCTCAATTTAACGAAGGAGGGTTACGAATGGAGGGAAGAAAAAGGAAGAATTAAACTTAAACATTCGAGGTACGATGCACCGAGCCGAAACGAACCATGCTGAAACGAGTCGCGCCACTCTGCGCCGCGCCGCGTCGCGTCGCACCGCACCGCACCGCACCGCACCGCACCGCACCGCACCGCACCGCGTTACGCCGGAGCCACGCCGGTTAAAGCATGTGGCCAGTTCCAGCCCGTCCTTTGTGCGCGTAGGATTGTGTTCGATCGATAAGTGTAACTCATGTGTCGTATCGTTTGCATTTCGTCAAACTGTTTATTTTAATTCATATCATTTGCTGTTATTATAAATCCTGCGACTAACGTAATATTAACAATATATATGTTATAAATTATATGTTTAACGAATAATGATATAGATGACTTTGCATTCACGACTAATGATATTGCAACTTTACTTAAAATTAATATAAAGATTTGAATGTATGGTTATATCATTATGTAATTAAACATTGTAAAAGTTTACGTAAATATTATTCGAAAAATTTTTCGAAGCAAAGCTGGAACACACACACACATACACATATACATATATATAATCCTTCTAAAAAAGAAATTTAATATCAATATATAAATTATTCTCATTAGAGATATATCTATATAATGTAGCATGTCCATTGCTAATTAACGCATAGACTATGATAAAAGTATGCTTATATAAATTCTAAAAAAATACGATCTAAAAAACGGCACTTGTAGGTATTATCGTAGGTATTTTGCCGAATGTGCATCTTTTACTTTATTTTTCGATACAGAATGTATCAGGGAATATCTGCCGAATGTGTATATCATTTAATATTTGTTACTTTTCATCTCGTTATTATTAGTATTTATGTAGTATTATTACTAATTGTTTAATAATAACGAGGTGAGAAAGAGAAAGAAAAGAAAGAAATTGCAAGTGATATGCAATAACGATTGATCGATTGATCAATAATTGTCGATATTATTCGCTCGCGTTTATTTTCTCGACTCCCAACGAAGAGCAATTGTATCAATTGTATCAATCACGATTCGTGCGGATCGTTTGTCCGTATTTGATCTTAATTAATCCGAGTGAACCCCATATGGCCGATACGTATGTAGATTACCTAAAAGCAATGCACACGCCGCAATGTGCGGTTATGGTCAATATTAAACTTTACAACTTACCTAACACCTCTCCCTTTCTCTTTTCTTCATATATCGTTGTTACGCATTATACGCACGATCATATTGTATTTATTATCATCGTTACTTTTAACGAATATATATATATACACACACACACTATTATACATTGACTATACATACTTGACACAGTTACAAATAACAGTTATTCGTTTTCGAATCAATATATTGCCAAACTAGAATTATATGCATATATATATCTAGCTTACAAAAGAGTTCAAAACTATCGAATCTTTTTTTATTCTTAACTATAACGGCTTTTTCACTCATAGAGGTAAAGGAAAGGGAAAATAAAAGAACAACCAATAGAGAGAAAGAAAAATTATTACAATAAATAGTAATAACGAAATATCTCGCATACTAATTTTTCAGTTGTCAATCACTGTTCCGCCAATGAAAAGTCAATGAAAAGGGATCCCGAGAGCGCTTAAAAACCTAACAAGAGGCTTTCGACACCGTATCATCACTCGGAACTCGGAATCGTACAGCTAGAAATATAGGTCAAGAAGTGCGCGTCGTCGTAAAACCATGTGTACCGTGAACAGTGAATCGTGGAGCAAAAACCGTGCTCGCTCTCCGAAATAAACAAATTTTTGTGCTAACCAATTTGACGAGTCGACAATGTCGGAATCTATCTATACAATATCTTGAAGCGATCGTCCACTATAAGCAGTGTTTGAACGCGCGCCATTTAAAATCCAGAAGAAACTTGTTCGTTTACGAAGTTGTTAATAAGTGTTGTAAAAAAATACACAACGCGGACACATAGAATATTCCGCTTAGAGAAAAATGGCATACGACGATGTTATTCTTCGAATGGGCGAGTTTGGTCGTTATCAACGCAGAGTCTACCTTTTGCTCTGTCTTCCGGCGATATCGTGCGCTTTTCACAAACTGGCTGGAGTATTTCTTGGAGCCAAGATGGATTCCAGGTACAATAAAAATTTAATTGCCATTATACATCCTTAATTACAATTGTGACGCAGTAAATCGCGATATATAACGAGAGAAATTTGTCGCTAGGTGTTTACTTTTGCACGAGCACGCGGCGAATGCCACATTCTTCCTGAGTCAAGATGTATTGAATGCGAGTTACCCATGGGACTATGAACTCCAAGGGTGGTCTCAATGTCTGAGCCGTGATGTTATAGGCGCCCCACGGCCGAACGATACAATTGTTGACGAAGCAATTGGCGCCGAAGAGGAAGGAATTAGCCGTTGCAAGCAATACGTATATGACCGGAGTATATACAAAAGTACAACCACTTCCGAGGTATGTGAAAAAGCTTCGCAAAATATATATATATACGTATATAACTGTGTTACTTATAAACTATTTATTTACTGGTTGGATAATTAAAGTTGCGCAAACAAGATGTTGCGAGAGTAAGAAGAAGCTTGAAAAGTTTGTGATATTTCGCACGGTATCGATAAACAAAATGAAATATTGAAAAACAATTCTTTCCGCGTTTTCCGCAGTGGGACTTGGTCTGTGACAAGGCGTGGCTGAGAGCGACGGGGGACTCGTTGTTCATGGTAGGAGTCATGCTTGGCTCGATGATATTCGGCGGTTTGTCCGATAAATATGGTCGTAGACCAATTTTCTTCCTGTCTTTAGTCATACAACTGGTAGGCGGTATACTAGTCGCTGTCGCTCCCGAGTTTATTTCCTACGTAATCTTCAGACTGATTGTCGGCTCAACCACCAGTGGGGTGTTCTTGGTAGCTTACGTCATAGGTAAGCAAGCCCTACTAACCGGGTTCGATACTTTTTTTCTTTTTTTCCGAAGAAAACTGACGAGACACACACTAGTCGTTCGCAATTAATTAATTTCAATCAAGTTTATTACGTGAAATCTCAGAATTTGATGAAAATCGCGGAATCCACACAGATGAATGCATATAGCACATATTAATCTTAATTCCCTCCTCAACATCTTCCAGCTTTGGAAATGGTTGGGCCGAGAAAGCGGTTACTAGCCGGAGTTGGCTGCCAGTTGTTTTTCACTACCGGATACATACTTACTGCTGGTTTTGCATATTTTATTACTGACTGGAGAATGCTGCAAGTAGCCATTACGGTACCAAGCATCGCATTTCTACTTTATTGGTGGTACGGTGATAATTATAATATTCAAAACAATTCTACGTGCGAACGCGATTTAACTTGTGATGAAGTTATTGCACAATTGCATCGCTATTCAAAATTATAAAATGACACCGATGTCTTTGACAGGTTTATTCCCGAATCCGCGCGATGGCTTTTAACGAAGGGTCGTCTGCAGGAAGCGAAGGATTTGTTGCAACGCGCTTCGTTGGAAAACGGCGTGGAGATGCCTGACGACGCTTTGGATACGCTTCTCGATAATAACAGCGAGGGCAGTACGCCCGATTCGAGAAAGCCTTCGCTTTTCGACTTGTTCCGTTATCCAAACTTGAGGCGGAAGAGTATTCTCTTGTTTTTCAACTGGTCAGTCGTATTTTTTGTTTTACTTTTCTACCTTTCTTGACACGTGCGTACACATACAAATTTTACACCGACAATCATACTGATATTCCTGTTTATACAGGCTCGTCAATAGTGGCACGTACTACGGACTGTCTTGGCACGCGTCCAATCTCGGCGGCAACGACTATGTTAATTTTGTAATATCCGGGGTAGTGGAGGTACCGGCGTATACATTTCTAATCTTTACTCTGAATCGATGGGGCAGAAAGATCATTCTTTGCGGCTGTATGCTGTTGTCTGGATTAGCGTTACTCGCTACACTATTCGTTCCCGCCAGTGAGTGTAACTTGATACTGCGCAGGATTAATTGATGTTGCAACTTTAATTTGATTCTATCTCGCGTACATATTAAAAGAATATAATTTCATCGCACAATATTATAATATATTATATATGTATTAGGATCGTCGAATAGACAAATAAATTTATTCTTTCAGATATGCCATGGTTAATCGTGTGCTTGGCGATGATAGGGAAACTCGCCATCACGTCATCCTACGGTGCAATTTACGTATTCACTGCTGAACAGTTTCCGACTGTTATCCGAAATGTCGGACTGGGCGCGAGCTCCACTTTCGCTCGAATTGGTGGTGTTATCGCACCGTACGTCAATCATCTGGTAAGTTAAGTAATGCCTCATTATCACGATTGGCTCGTTTTATCTACCTGTACGACATCGACGGCATATTGACCATACAAAATCGCCGTGTTATCACCGAATTGTCGAATCGTTTCAGTCGGAAATATGGACGCCATTGCCGCTCGTTATTTTCGGATCCTGCGCCTTATTCGGCGGACTGATGTCTCTTCTTCTCCCGGAGACACTGAACAAAAAGCTTCCCGAGTCGATTCAGGATGGCGAGCTGTTTGGAAAGTACGTATTCCATTTTTCTATCGACTTTGATCATTTACGCGCACTTTGTTACTCCGGATGGATAAATGGCTTGTTCGAAAAATGCTTTTAGAAAGCCATCCAAGAGGAAGAAGAAGAAACAACAACTGGATATCGATCAAATGAACGAAATAGAAATAGTGAAGCCGTTAAAAGCGCAGGAGAAGCAAAACGGCGTGTACGAGAAACAGAACGGATGACACTAATTTTTCCAGAGCAATGTCGGTATCACACTCAAAATATGCATTTGATTCTCGAGTTTGAACGTATTTTAGATGCCTGCTGTGCGTGTGCGACGCGCACGCCCGCAAGAAACTAAACGTAACGTGATACGTGCATCGGTTCGAACTTTCATTATCGAAGGAACGTAAAAGGATCGGATTAGATGGGCAAAAATATGTCGATAGCACGCGAAAAAATATACATTTCACTTGTACACGTCTTAAATATCTCGGAAAGAAGTAGGTGTACACGACGACGGCATTATTGCGAATACCGCGCATTACGATAATTGATAGAATATAAGGATTCTGCCGACAAACATATCATTACTCCAACATTCGAACGTTCTATATGTAAGGAATGCGGTTACAAATTATGAACGAAATATTGTGACTTATCGGTACAAAAATAATATGACGTTTCACAATATTTTCTCTCTTTCTCTCTCCCTCTCCCGTTTAGATTTATTATCTTTATTTCTCTTCACTCGATATCGTTCGTCAATCAGCGTCAGAAGCGACAATAACAAGTTTGGTACAAGACCTCTCGTATCTCGATCGATATTTCATAAGCTTATGAGAGAAAATTTATAATGGAAAAACAAACTAGAGGGATGTATAGTTACATGATACGTATATAATGCATTCCTTTATTAATATCTCTCAATAGCCGGATAAATAATTTTTATGAAACATTCTTAAGCACTCGGCTGACTCGACATGATCCAACTCTTATGAGCTACTTCCAGATATTGCATTTTTTCTTGGGATTCATCGCGCTACCAACTGGACAATTGTAGGCTTTGGCAAAGTCCTCCGAGTTAGAAACAGACCCTATCACTCTTAATCGCCCGGTACTGTGTGAATCCATCCTGGCATGTCGCATTACAGCGGTTGAATCGGTCGATTCGCACCATAACTAACCATAAATATCGCAATTGTCATAATTATAGCCACGCAACATTTAACGATTGACATCGAGAGTATGCGTGCGTGTAGCATGCAAAATCCATCAATTAAATCAATTTTAATTGTTATTCATTCGATCACGTTACCGAACACTGTTACACTATTAATTCGTACTATTCGTGGTGCCCACTTACATTGCCAAAGGATAGGAAGAAGAGTTGATCATTGGTGAGTCCTTCCAGACCTGGCAATACGGCATCCGGTTTTCCACATTCCCTTTCTCTTCTTCGATAAGCTCTAAATACAGTCTGTAATCCCATCGTGTCAGCAATATTCTCGCCCGCTGTTTGGTTGCCATAGTTCTACAATATCATTGATCATTGAGTGCATTGTCACGCGTAATACGTAGAAGTAAAAATAATGTTAATTTGCGAAAGGCAGAGAGCAGTACCTTTAGCTTCTTGTTCGACATTTTGTCGATAGGATAATTATTAAATTGTTCCACAAAACATTCCGCTCTTTTGTTATACGCCTCGGCCATTGTAGATAGCCATTCCATAAAGTCGCCATTCTTATCGTACAAGTGCCCTAAAAATTATATTACTCTTTGCGTTTTAGTCCATCTCATCTTTATACGAAATATAATTTCGCACACGAAAGAATATTACCGGTGTCATCAAATCCGTGATTAACTTCGTGAGCCATGACAACTCCAATAATGCCAAAGTTGATATTTCTACAATGTAACGATGCGTATAAATGTAGTCCCATGTGGAAAAAAATCGTATTGAAAATCATACTAGTATCGGACCGAGATGCCATGGTAAATTAATTGAGAGATACGGGAATTGTTATGTAAATATCTCATCGCGATAGATATATATTTTTACAAACACACACATATACTTACTGTGGTCGGCCATAATCGAAAAGTGGGCTCTGAAAATCCGCTGCCGTGATAGCTGCCATCCAAACGAGAATTAATTAATGATGCCTGGCGATGTTTGTACATCGCGCAACAATATAAAACAAAATAAATAAAATAAATAATATGCATTACATACTTAGGGAATTTCCTTCCATGTCGAAAAGAGCATTCAATGTCACAGGGCTGATCCACCATCTGTAATACGAGATTTTTTTATCGGTAAGTAAGTTATCTAGTTTGCAAATTAAAGCAAAAAGAAATTAAGAGAAAAGCTACGACTTCACGAACGAGATTAAACTAAATTATCATCTTACGTATTGAGAGCTTCATCGTCTTGCGTCAACTTTCGAAGTTTATTCCATTTGTAGTATCTAAGATAACTGAGTGTATTCTCGTAGTAGGATTTGCCAATGATGAGCTTTAAGGGAACAAAATATTTGAGCAAAAAAAAAGCAGCCACTACTTAGCATGTGCATAACGGTAGCTAATAATTTTTTACGTGACTTACTCCTTGAAAATATTGCTTCACGATCGTGCTATTTCTATACCAATCTGGATATCCAATTAATTTATCCATATTTACTAGTTTTGCTAAAACAAAATCTTTAGTATCGTCGTCCATCCAATCCGATTCTTTAATCAAATATTCGACTTCTTTTTGTATATCATCGATCATATCCATTGCCTATAAATAGTCGAATTGAACAAAATTGAGTGAATATAACGCGCATATACGTATTACGGAACACACAGCCATAGATGCAAGAGGTTATCTACAATATCGTTGATAGATAAGACGCATAGATAAATCGCGTTAATAACATCGCGTTTGTTTAATATCAGTTTATCTTTCTTTTTCTCAGAGCTGATATTTTAAATGGCTATATATGTGTACACACACACACACACACGCGTGCGTGCGTGCGTGCGTGCGTGCGTGCGTGCGTGCGTGCGTGCGTGCGTGCGTGTGCGTGTGTGTGTGTGTGTGTGTGTGTGTGTGTGTGTGTGTGTGTGTGTGTGTGTGTGTTGATGTGTGTGTGCGTGCGTGCGTGCGTGCGTGCGTGCATGCGTGCGTGTGTGCGTGCATATGTGTATAAATCACGCTTACTGTTTTTACGATATCGTCTGAGAAATGTTTTCTCACATACTCGTACGCTAGAATGTCGCTCATCTCTACTTCTCTTATGCATTGAGATGATCTGTCAGAAAAATTAATAAATTATTATTTTGCTATATCGATACAGTTTCAATTCATGCTTATAATAAGCCTGACAAGCAGATATATGTACGTCTCTTACCACGATTGCGATAGGTTTTTGCAGGATACGCTGCAGAGCGATTGAAAGTAAGAGATGTATTCTTTTTTCTTTTCTCATGTGTGCTTTCTCGTGCATCTGCGGACTGCAACGATCTTTCAAAGATATTCGAAAGATATTCACTAAATCTCTCTCGAATTTTAATTTCCAAACATGCCAGAAAGTACACAGAGAAAGAAAAAAGAAAGATTCCTAATCTATAGAAACTCTACATATATAACATATTCATCAAAATCGGTCGGAAATACTCTCTCATATATTGTTTCTTTGTTAGTCGTGAATAATTATCACCATGGTCAATAAGCTGTATATAAGTGAATATAATGGATGGAAAAATAATTAAAACCTTTCTCTTTTTTCATCAACTTCTTCAACATCAACTTCTTCAACTTCTTCATCACCAACTAGTTCCCATACATTGTACAATTCTCTCATTTCGCTGGTGGTGGTCTTTATTATTTTACTTAGGAAATTCCAATGTATATAATTTACTGAAACATATTTTGTACAAGCGAATGTATATTCCCTAGACCTATACTATTGCTGTATCTCAATTTTTAAAATTTACCGATTGTTCGGCTTGACGTCTCGTCCAGCAAAGACACAAGAGCCCCAAAGTAATCCGGTGAAATAACTTTTATATCTAAATAACCATCTACGGCCACGTTAGCCTCATCGAATAATTCCGTAATTTTGTATACCCAATCAACCTACAGTGCCATTCTCAATTGTGATTTAATTATTCAATCAACTTAAGTAATCTATTTAACCTTCTGAGGACCGGTTATTTTTTTAACGACTTTTTTATTTTAAGAGCTAGAACTTTTTTGTCAATATCATTGGATTGAATGGGGAAAAAGCTGACACCGCCGTCGCGCCGATATATCGGCTTCCGGCCCTCTAAAGGTTAATCGGAAAATGCGAGAAGATACCACGGATATGAAATAAATATATGAAATGATAACTTACTTTACTGTTGTCGGTTTTGGATCCTTTTTCATCATACCAATTTTGAAAGTTATCAAGCGTCAACTCCAAGTCTTCGCCAGACTCCATAATAATCTATATCACATTATTGAAGTTATTGTTAGAAAAAAAATCTTGGTCATAAATATTTCGACCGAGTAACGCACGAGTAATGTAACGTTTAAACGTTTACCTCAGTTAATTTCAACTGAAACTCGATCAAGTCTTCGATATCTTTATTGATGTAATGCTCCGAGACTTTCATGCCTCTTTCTTTAGCTATAGCGTGAGCTACATTCGAAATGTAATCAGCGTATTGTTGCCGTATCATCCCTTCATAGTCATCATTCGTCTGTTCTGTACTAAACCGCGGCGTCGTTGATGCATGCATCATATCGAAGGCTTTTTTCGTACTCTTTCGTACATTTAACTTATCACGATGAGTAAAACGTTGCGGACGTTTGCTATCAACTTTCGTTATTATTGCTCGTTTTTCTAACCTTTGTTTCTTTTCCGTATGGCTCTCCTTACGCTTCTTAATAATACTGTTACCACTCCTTTTTCCATTATGTATGGATTTTTTATTTTTTCGGTAATTGTAATTCAATTTGTCAATAGATTTCTTCTTCTTGGCTTTTTGATCGTTATTTTGTTCGTTTGTATCGTTGTTGTTGTCGTCGTCGTTTTCATCTTCACTTCCAGGCTCCTGGCTGTCCTCGTCGCTTTGCTTTTCCTCATCGCTCGGGTCACTCTCATCATCATTTACTTCATCGCTATCGTACGTATTTCCGGACCATAGTTTGAACGCACCCGGTGGTAGATGCGGAGTGTCGATCTAGTAACGAAGATGTTTTAATTTTGTTTTAATAATAAAGGAAAGAATCGTACCGCGCAAAAACGTATAAGTGCAAATATTCCCGACAAATCTATCCAATGTGTAACAATTCCCAGATAACAATTTTTGCGCGCAAATGCTTGCGCACATTACGCATGCAAATATTGCACGATATTTGCTTACGTTTTACTTGTAAATTTGTTTAGTCATACATATTGTACGTAAATGGCTAGCTCATATATTACTCCATATACCAACAAATCACACGCAAATAATTTGCATATCGTTAGCCATTTGGTAGTGTTTTGTATGATTCATAAGTAAGACATCTGCTCGTAAATCATTTGCTAATCGCGCAATTCGCTTGCATTTTTAGTCTTACTTTATTGCGTGCAATTTATAAAATGAAAGCATATTACATATACATGCATATATAATATTATATATTAATACATATATTGTTAACGGTCACATCTCATCGACATTGAACTATTGGAGGTAAAACCAAAAATAACATTCAAGTTGACGATTATATCTAATTACTACTCATTTCATAGTAACACCGAAAATGATAGTCTGAATAAAAATCACAAATATTTGGAGATAACACAAAAAATCATACCCGGATTGACGATTACATTCAATCCATATTTAATTATTTGATGATAACACCAAAATACACATACATTGATACATTGATTTTCAGCTTGAACACTTTTAATGCAGTTGGAGACTTAATGTGTCTCCAACACATAAGCGATAGTCCAATGAAAGAAATCGTTTTCGAAAAATTCTTAAAAAATAAATTCTTACTAAAATTCTATAGCCTATATTATATACCATTACGAAAAATATACCGAAATTTTCAGTATTAACCGTCAACTTGGGTGTCAGTTAAGGGTTTACCATCAATTTTGATACCATTTCGAGTGTTATCCTCAAATGGTTGGTTATAACCCTCATTTAGAAAGTTAATTTATATATATACAGGGTGGACCATTTTAATCCATCCAGTCGAATATGTGAAAACCAAGCACGGGAAAGAAAAATGTTTCAGACAAAAGTTGTAAGGCTTAAAAAAAACGCATTCAACAATAGTAGTTATTTGATATAGGATGGCGTCACCAAGGTCAGAACAATGTCAACTTTGCTTTTTTAAATAGAAATACATATTTTTTATTACGGTATTTTATTCAACGTAAAAACGCAAATAACTTTTGCTTGAAAAAATTTTTTATACGACCTCTATTTTCTAAGATATTTACGTAAATATCTACAAGATTATTGGTTTCAATAATTTTTTACTTGAATTCTGTCAACTTTAGCGGAAAATATGAAGAGATAAAAATTGTATATTTTGTTCTCATAGAGCTCTGAGAATTTTTTCAGAATTTTGTGTTAACTTTTTAGTACTTCAAGAAAATGTAAGAAAATGAAGTACTAAAAAGTTAATATAAAATTCTGAAAAAATTCTCAGAGCTCTATGAGAACAAAATATACAATTTTTATCTCTTTATATTTCCCGCTAAAGTTGACAGAATTCAAGTAAAAAATTATTGAAACCAATAATCTTGTAGATATTTACGTAAATATCTTAGAAAATAGAGGTCGTATAAAAAATTTTTTCAAGCAAAAGTTATTTGCGTTTTTACGTTGAATAAAATGCCGTAATAAAAAATATGTATTTCTATTTAAAAAAGCAAAGTTGACCTTGTTCTGACCTTGGCGACGCCATCCTATGTCAAATAACTACTATTGTTGAATGCGTTTTTTTAAGCCTTACAACTTTTGTCTGAAACATTTTTCTCTCCCGTGCTTGGTTTTCGACATATTCGACTGGATGGATTAAAATGGTCCACCTGTATATATATATATATATATATATATATATATATATATATATATATATATATATATAATATATATATATATATATATATATATATATAGACACACACACACAGCATGCATTTCCGCCTCTACTGCATTACATCTTAAGGCTGATATTTCACGTGTCGCACGACAAGCTTTTTGGATACGTTTATTGGTTGACGAACAGAGAATCTATAAATACTCTATTCGCCAACCAATAAACGTATCCGAGAAACTTGTACGACACGTGAAATAACACCCTAAGGGCGGACTCCTGAGGTAATTTGAAGATAAAACTCCTAATGTAAATATGTTGAGGTTATAATATTTTTCAAATTATAAACGATTAAAGTTGACCAATTCCCATATAGCACAAAATGTTGAAAAAATATTGATGAGACGTTACAACGTTGAAGACAGAAGTGCGAATGTTTTTCTGCATGAAATTTATATTGATTTTTCAACATTAATTTCAAGATATAGCTGTAATATTAAATATACATTAAACAAAAAGTACAATATTTTGCAATGTTGCAACAATATTTGAGAAGCATTGAAAATTATATTATTGACAATATTAATAAAAAATTTGTTATGTAATAATAATAATAATAAAATAAATTATTATTAAATTTTATTATATTAATATATATGTATTATACATATTATAATATTCTATTATTATATATATTTTTCTTATTATATGTAAAATTAAAATTCGTTTAATTTTGCGCAAATCCTGAATATTCTTTTATTTTATAATATTCTCTATTATATAGAGTCTGACGCAAGCTGTATCGATAACAAAAAATGCATAAAAAATATTAAACTGAAAGAAATGGTCGAAATCATTTTGCAAATAATTATATAAGCTTTAGAGATATTATTGGGAGTGTGCATTAATTTTAAAGGATTTTTTGGTAAAAATACGGCTTTATTGTGAAAAAATAGTTACAAATTGATCATTCAAAATATTGTCCATCGCTAGCCACTACTTTTTCCCATATTTCTGGTAATAGGTGAATTCCACGTCGAAAGAACGACACATCTTTTGAGGCTATCCACGAATCGACCTATTTTTTGGTATCCTCATAAGAATGGAAGCGCTGCTCAGACAGGCCATGAGTCATCAAAATAGGTAGTAATCGGAAGCAATATCTAGAGAATACGACGGGTGTGGTAGGACATCTTAGTTAAGCGCTTCTTCCCTTGACTGGTTTCGCAACATGTGGCCGAGCGTTATTGTGGAAAATCACTTTGTCGTGTTTTTTCGCGTAATTTGGCCGTTTTTGCTTCAATGTTCGGTTCAATTGCATCAATTGTTGTTGGTAGCGTTCCCCAGTGATGGGGGATTTCGTTGGGTTGGAGCAGCTCATAATACATTACACCCAGCTGATCTCACCAAATACAGAGCATGAGTTTGGCGCCATGAATATTCGGCTTTGCCGTCGATGTTGATGGTTCGCCTGACATGCATCATGATTTTTTGCGCTTCGGATTATCGTAGCGTATCCATTTTTCATCAACCGTCACGATACGATGCAAAAAACTTTTTCTTCTGTGTCTTTGAAGCAACAATTCACAGGTCATTTTGCGCCTTTCGACGTCCCTCGGCTTCAACTCGTACGGCACCCAATTTCCTTGCTTTTGAATCATTCCAATAGCCTTCAAACGTCTGGAAATCGTTGACATTTAATGATTCTGCAAGTTCTTCTTGCGTTTCACTCGGGTCTTGATCGAGTGAAGCTTCCACTTCCTTATTTTCAAACTTGTTCAGCTGGCCTGGACGTTCCTTGTTTTCCGTGTCAAAATCACCTTTTTTATAGCGTCGAAACTAATAGTCTGTTCTTTTCAGTTGCACTGCTGAACTGATGCAAAAAGTTAAAGTGAGAAAACATATACTTATCTCACTTTAACTTATTGCACCAGTTCAGCAGTGCAGCTGAAAAGAACAGACCACAGTATTCACATATTGAAATCGATAGTAATGGCGTTGGAGCATGAGTCACTGATACGCCTCTAGCCAAATATTGAAGGAAGGAAGGATATTGAAATCGATGGAGTATTATCACCATAAGCTAACGATAGCATTCGTTGACTTTCAGCAGCATTTTTCTTCAAATGGAAGCAAAAAAGCAAAGCTTCCCGCAAATTGCGTTTTGTTGGCACAAAATTCGACATATTCAATACTCAAAATAACAATGTCGTTTACACTTCGACAAAATGACACATACTGAAAACTAAAGCCATATGATGGTGCTTTGACATGAAGGTAGCAACAATATGGCCAGATGCGATATAGTACTAGTTACGCCATCTCTTGAAAATCCTTTAAAATTAATGCACACTCCCAATAAATAAAATAGATAGGCGAATAAACGCGCGTATTTGCTATGTATGTTATAAAGTACTGTGAACACTGTAAGTACAGATTATATAAGCATAAATTGTAAGAACATCGTTGAAATCACTGGAATCACCGCGTGCCGCTCGATCGTCAGGTTAAGCAACACTTTAACGCAGTCAGGATATGGATGGTGACCGGCATACCGCTTTGTATTCGAAATTATCGAGGGAAAATTCGCGAAAGTTTTAGAGTGTGTTTGACAATCTTCGGTTCCTAGTAGTTTATAAGACATGAGAAAATTAGGAATTAGTTTTTTAGAAAAGCTACGCGGAAAACTTTTAAGCGGACATTTTTACATTATATCAAGGTTTGTACAAGGTTGATTCAATGTTTCTCAATGTTACTGCAATATTGACATTGTTGTAATTCAACATTTTTTCAATATTAATTCAACATTACTGTGCTGTATGGGTCATATTGACTAAAGTATGCGCGCTCAGTTACTTCACACACAAGCTTAGCAGAACTAACTCAAGCGATACGCACCCAAATCACTTGTTGATCTTGCTCTTATTTTACGGGTTTATGAAGAGAGTATTGCGCGCAAATTTTGCTAGCCATTTGATGCTTTTATGACGACGCACATGGATATGTTTTTGCTTGCTCAATATGAGCAACCATTTTTGCACGTGCTTTGCTTAACATTTACGTGCAAAATATTTTCTAGGTTGTGTTTTATGAACGCATTATATGTAATATATTGTGACAATTACATGCACTGCTGTCTCGGTCTCGTTGTAATTATATACGCGCACGTCATGAAAAGCGTTTCTTCCCATCAAACGCACATATTGATCATCCACTTTTTGCCAGCTATATTCCTGTTCGTCCCATTCATCCGGATCCATTATCATCGGCCAGCCGCCCATACGCGATACAGTAGAAACCAATGGCTCGAGTCCTCGCCTATCCATCGCATCTGAAAGTATTGACGTGTTAAGGGACGTTTACATTGGAAGTAAACAGTAAAAAGTAGGAAGTAAGAATAAGAAATTGATCAATCATAGTTGATTATTCTTCTCACATTCGACTGTGGTTGGTCAATTTCTTACTCTTACTTCCTACTTCTTGCTATTTACTTCTAATGTAGACGTCCCTTAAAGCTGGTGGCACATAGAAAAACTTAAGCAGTAAGACGTAAGCAATAAGCAAATTGACCAATCACAGTCATTGATTCTTCTTACGGTTAAAAAATCAACGACTGTGATTGGTCAATTTGCTTACTTCTTACGTCTTACTGCTTAAGTTTTTCTGTGTGCCACGGCCCTTAATAGCGAGCACCCCGAACGCACTTTAAGTCCCGATCTATAATAGGTATAGTAAGCTTTAAGTCTTAAGAAATTGACCAATCACAGTGGAATTATAGAGGAATAATCAGTTGTGATTAGTTAATTTCTTACTACACCTTAGAGATGCCCGATTCTTAATCGATTCGATTGTTTCCCTAACAAATTTAGGGAAAAAGAGTTGTTCGTGCTACTTGCATATTTCATACTTTTCGCTTTTAAAAAAAGATGGACGTCTAATTAGACGCTTGGAAGAAACAATCGAGTTGGTTGTCTCGTTTTTGCTTCTTCGAAACATTCCAATATACTTCTTTCTTAAATATGAAAAGTGCGAAGAGTGCAAACAACACGAATAATGACTTTGCGGAAGTCCGCGCGACAGCCAATCAATATGTTATTTTTCCGTAAGAGCTAGAAGGTTATTACGGAAAGCAGCATATTGATTGGCTGTCGAACTTCTGCCGTAAACTTCTGCCGCGCGGCAAGCATTATTGCGTCCTGTGTGCAGGAACCATAAGTCTATTTTTGGGGAAAGAATCGAATCGATTCAGAATCGGGCATCTCTACTACACCTATTGTAGATCGGGACTAAAGGATCATCTGCAATGGAGAATCGTACGCCGTAGCAGTAAGAAATTGACCAATCACAATCGATTATTCTTGTAAAAATCCAATATAATTTCTTACTGCTTCGGCGTACGATTTTCCATTGTAGATGGCTCCTAAGTATTCGAACATTCTATCGTATTTACCTGTATCCATACAAGCTGTATACCATTTCTTCGCGAGCTTCACCGCCAAAAGATCATTGTCCTTGTATCCTTCCTTTAAAATGTCTGTACAACTTAATATTATTAGATTTTCCCGCGCTAACTTCGACTGTACGTATAATTACTGCGACATTCGTAGATCTAGGCCCCTATTTTTGAAATTTTTGCGTATACGTAATTTTCATTACGCAGCTATTTTATGGTATGATTAAACATGCGTAGTAAAACTTACGTATACGCAACTATTTCAAGAATAAGGGCCCAGATCTTACCTTCGATTTGTCGATCGACATTCTTTTGAAGCATATGCCATAAGCTCCACGAGCGGCTTCCTTTTGGAACGGGATTATGTTCCGCCCATTTTCCACACGCGTATTCGTAAAAATCATCGCACGGATCCGCAGATTTGTTCATACTTTCTAGCATTACTTTAGCTGACCAAGGGAAAGAAAAGCAATGATTGGATAATGATTGGAATTTTTTTTGCACTGTTTGGACAGCCAGAGTTGTTTCAACCGAATACTTACCGATTTTTTTGCATTCCTCAGTTTGGCACACAGTCTGAGTTTCTTCCTTATTATTTTCGTTTGCTTTGTTATTCAAACCGAACAACCATGCTAGATTCGAAGGATATCGCTGAACTTTTAACGGCGTAACATTTTTCGACAAAAACACACTTACGAACACACTAAAAGGAAGGCGTCAAAAGAAATGTTAAAAATATATTTTGTTTTTTCGCAGAAATAGCACGAAATATATAGATATTCATGTGTGTGTATATGAGATGGTAATATGAAACAGAATAACGTTAATCAAGGCTGATTTTTTAAACAACTGCTACGATTAGTTATTGGGTTGTTGGAAAAGTCATGACACATTTTTGCAACAGATGGTGGTAGTTCATTGTTGGAAGTTAAGAGTCATTCGCATCTATGTTATTGCTGTTATTTGACAGCTCTATAATATATAGATTCTAGCATTTAAAAAAAAAATTGAATAGTTCTAGCTTCATTAAAAAAAAAATTAAACGATTTGGTTGAGTTTTTGAGATTTTATAACAATTTGAAGATGGGAGACCAAACTGTGCATTTTCGCCATATATTACTGTTTTACTTCCGTAAAAGGAAGAACGCGCGTGAAAGTTTGTGAAAAGTTGCGTAAAGTTTACGGTAACAATGCTGTACGAGAACGTCAGTGCCAATGATGGTTCACGAAATTCCGTGCTGGTGATTTTGATCTCAAAGACGCTCCTCGATCAAAGAGGCCTATCGAGGTTGATGATGACAAAATAGAGGCATTGATTGAGTCAAACCCACGTTACGCGACACGAGAGATTGCAAAAACATTAAACATCCATCATTTAAGCGTTCACAACCACTTGAAGAAGCTGGGATACGTAAGCAAGCTCGATATTTAGGTTCCTCATGAACTCAAAAAGTTCATTTGACGGCGCATATAAACATCTGCGATATGCTCGTAAACGTGAGGAAAACTATTCTTTTTTGAATCGACTGATAACTGGTGATGAGAAGTGGATTGTTGTGCGCAACAATGTAGTGCGCAAACAGTCTTGGTCCCGACGTGATGATGTGCCTCAAACGACATCGAAAGCAAACATTCATCAGAGGAAGATTATGTTCTCAATGTGGTGGGATTTTAAAGGTGTCGTGCTTTTTAAGCTCCTACCAAGGAACCAAACAATCAATTCGAATGTGTACTGTCGGTAGTTTGAACGAATCCATCATCCAGAAACGTCCAGAGCTCGTTAATGGTAAAGGAATTGTATTCCATCACGACAACGCGAGACCACATACAAGTTTGATCACCCGTCAAAAATTATTGGAGCTTGGATGGGATGTGTTGCCACACCCACCATACTCGCCTGACTTTGCGCCGTCAGACTTCCACTTGTTTCGCTCTCTTCAAAAACTCCTTACGTGATATAACGTTCAATTCAGATAAGGCTGTAAATCAGCACCTTGTTCAATTTTTCGCCGATAAAGACAGGTCCTTCTATGAACGAAGAATTATGAAACTCACTGAAAGATGGCAAAAGGTTATCGAACAAAACGGGCAATATATCATTGATTGATCTTTGTTCTTTATATAAATAAATAACCTTTGAAAAACATAGAAAAAATACGTCATGACTTTTTCGACAACCCAATAGTAACTGAAATAAACATAACTACATTAGACACCTTATCAAAGACATCAGTGTTGTTTATAACGTTAAGAGAACCCTACTGAAAAATTTCTGTTGAGATAATAGAATTCCCAATTTAATTCTCAGTTAAATTCTCAATTGAATTCTCAAATGCGGTTTCCGCAAAAATTCGCATGTAAGATCTCAATTGAGATATTTGTATCTGATGGAAATAATTTATTGAAAATATAATGAACTTTTGCTGAAATGCTTTTGAAAAGCATTCACAATTTTGACCAAATTTCATTAAAATTTCATTACAATTTCATTAATATTTCGATAATATTTAATTAAAAATATAGAAAAATTCAGTGAAAAATCATTATTAATTAAAATAGATTGAGAAAAGTATAATGAAATATTATTTTGTCTAAATAATAAAAAAAAACTGGCATTTCATATTTTGTGTCGTTTCATTTATTCGTTAGATTCGCGTGAGATTCGATCCCGTGTCACACGGTCACCACCCATCTTTAGATAACTATGCGCTAGTTCAATGCCTAACCTCACCGATCGTACGGGAACTGATATTGGTACGGGGATGGTAATGCGCTGTAACAATATCGTGGTGGATTGTACAATATACTCTTATAGCGTTTGAAAATGTAATGACATATTTCCCAGTAAACATGCATGTCTAAAAGATGTCGAAAAGTTATCTAAAAGACGTCTTATGCAACAAAATGTTGCATAAGATAACTGGGTTGTCGGTAAATGTTTCAAAGAACATAACAACAATCACAATGCAATTAATATTGATACAATGTTGTATAACTAATCAAACTTTAACATATAACAGAGAGAATGTTCCTTCTTTCTCTCTCTTTTGCGAGCACGTTATATGTTTAAATTTAATTAGTTATACAACATTGTATCAATATTAATCGCATTGTGATTGTTGTTACGTGTTCCTTTGAAACATTTATCGACAAATATATCATTACATTTTTTAACGCTGTAAGAGTATATTGTAAATATAATCTACCACCCTTATAGAAATATCATACTAAGAATCATTGATAATTACCTATTTTCAGTATTAAAAATACTGGATAATAAGTAATTATCAATGATTCTTAGTATGATATTTCTATAAGGGCACGATATCGTTATATCGCACTGGAATTACTAATTCCAGCACGATCGTTGAGGTTTAGGCATTGAATAGCGCATAGTCATTTAAAGATGAGTGGCCGTGTGACACGGGATCGAGAATCCCACGCGAATCTCAGGAATAAATGAAACGATACAAAATATGAAATGCTAGTTTTTTTTTATTATTTAGACAAAATAATACTTCATTATACTTTTCTAAATATTTTAATTAATAATAATTTTTCACTGAATTTTTCTACTCTCTTAATAAAATATTATCGAAATATTAATGAAATTATAATGAAATTTTAATGAAATTGGGTCAAAATTGTAAATGCTTTTCAAAAGCATTTTAGCAAAAGTTCATTATATTTTTAATAAATTATTTCCATCAGATATAAATATCTCAATTGAGATCTTACATGCGAGATCTTTTTGCGGAAACCGCATTTGAGAATTCAATTGTGAATTCAACTGAGAATTGAATTGGGAACTCTATTGTTATCTCAACAGAAATTTTTCAATAGGGATAACTTGTGTTCAGAAGCCTAAAGGACTTGTATATAATTTCCATTATATTGAGTTTAATTTTAATAAAAAATTTCTTTATCTTTATTTCTAACTTATGTTTTTTTACATTCTCAAAGGAATTCAAATACAATAACAAAAGCTATCTGACATCAACAACTTAATAAAAAGTAAAATTTTCTATCTTCATATATGTTTCGTATTACTATCCCATTTTCCAAGATCTTATATCTAGTCCACCGTGTTAAAAAAAACTTTTTACTTTTTGAACAGTTTATTTTTTTTCCTAATGTCTATTTTAATACATTATAAGAGATATATTTGCTACCATTTCTGATAATTATTGATGTATAGTTGTTGCATTTATTATTGAATTTTTCATCTAAAGCAAGAAATGCCATCCGTACTATCACTCTCTCTCTTATGACAAACGTTTATGAAATTTAGTTAAAAAAGAAAATACATTTCTTTCTTTTTTTTTGTTTGAAAATTATTGTATGCACGCAATACATACACATATATACATATGTACATGCCTAATTTTTATTAATCTTTTAAAGAAATATACAATATAGAGAACATTGACAAAATATTTACAAATAATGATGCATTTAAAGAATCGCTGTTACCAGTTACTTACAAAAGAGCAAGCCACTTCATATTCGCAGAAAAACATATACGTCACTGATGCAAGGCTCAATTGCACTACACGCCAACGTATCGTTACGGTGTCTTTGCGGCAAAATGAAAATTGCACTTGTCACGATTTACTCTTTTATATATTACTGTTTCAGCGGAAAGACCTTAGAATGGACTTGTTGATACTGCAAGCATAACGAATTGATAACGCCGAAGGCCAGCGGGGTATCTTTCATCCTGCAGATTTAAATGGTGAAACTGCACGAATGTTTCTGCAAAAACAAAATATAAAATTTAAAGAGCCGGAAACTATTTGCTCAAAACCTTTACTCATTTTCTTGAAAAACTATTCGCATTGGAAAGTAAAAGTCGACGTTAGAAATCTCCCAACTATAGATATGCAACAACTAGAGACTAGCAACAGCTAAAGACATATGCACATGTAATGCAGCTGCAAACACAATTCTTATCGTGGCTAACGGAATTCCACATATCAATTTAGATCCGGGAGAGAAGGACAACGTATGTTATACAATGAATTATCTTTCTCGAAACATCCGCCATGATTCTACGTGATTTCGAATTATTATCGAATATATATATATATATATATATATATATATATATATATATATATATATATATATCTTCTATATATTATATCCCACATAGCATAATATTACATAAGCATATAATATTACTGTGTAATATTTCCATAATATTGCAATATCGCAGAAATATTATGGAAATATCACTGTGATATTGTATATATTATGTGCTATATGGGATATCTTGTATATAATGTAACTCAAACAAAATATAAAAGTGGATATAGAATATTAATTTGAATTGCACGCTGCATTTTGCATCAAACAAATAATACAATACTCGGAAATATATATTAAGAGTATTTCAAAATATTTTCTAAAATTATTTTTTACTCTTAAATATCTGTATTTACAAAAAATATTTTGACATGTACTTCTCGATATATATTTTGACTTCTATTTATGTGATCTTTTTCGTAAGAGTATTAGATACTTACTGAGTATTATATATACCCAGTAAGCAAGGAACATTAAATTAACGTTTAGAAACGTTGACTTCATGTGCATTATTTGGACATTTTTTAATAATATTGCATTTATATTTTTCATATGCTATTTTGTGATGATGCTTCTAAATGTTGTTTAAATGTTTTAAAAACATTACAAAAAATATATTTTTCAAATATTACTTTAACACTTATTTGAGGTCAATGCCCCGGATAGTCAAGCCTGCAAAAGTCAAGTTTTGCTAAGTGTGTGCTGCATATTATGCTGACATAATTTTGGCATTAACGAAGCATGATCTGCTATGTCAGATAGTGCGTGTATAAAATGTAACAGAAATCTAACAGAATCTGCATCATGATATGATGGCAAAAATAGTGCAAAAATAAGACACGATATGTCAGCAGAACAAGAGAAAAATTTAAATATTAAGTGCAAACATAATTTTTTTACATGAAACAGCATAAAATTGAACAAAGAACGATGTCATATCATGCAAACAGAAAGACATTAAAAATCAAACTAATTAACCCTAACAGCACGGGGACGTTCTGAGGACGTTCTGAGTAGATCGCAATGCGTATATTGCGATCATCTCAGAATGTTCTCATATGTACTGCGATCGACTGAGTACATTCTGAGTACGTCTCTATATCTGGGGTAGCAGCTACTATAGAATTTCTCTGCGAATGTCGTGCGAACGTTCGCAGCGATGTCGGCAATCTCAGGACGGAATGAAAACGGGAAAGTTCGGTACATCACGTATAGACGCACACACACATGTGCAGCTAAGCGCGCGCGCTCATATATAGGTTAAGTTAGGTTATTAATTGGATATTTTTATTTCATTATAAATTCGTTTTTATTAATATAAGTTCTTTTACAAATGAATAATATACTCTTTTATTGAGATTATTTATAACAGACTTTTATAAACACAAATAACCTAATTGCGATTCATCGCCTCCGCGGCGTTCTCGGCCGTCGGTGAGCGACGCTTTCAACTACTTGGAGTCGATGGGAGCCAGCGATAGCAGAGAATCTTACACTAAAAACCTTTACTGCTAATGGCATCCTCACCTAAAACCAATAAGCAAATGCTATGCGGCTTTGCAACCTAGGATAACCTCAAACTCTATCAGAATATTTGTATAAAAATTTCTACGAAATATTAAGAAATATTATGTAATTTATATGTAAAAATTGTTTCGCTAACTTTATTCAATATTTTATTGAATTAAAATTAAGGAAGAAAAAGGATTATCTTTGATATTAATTAGATCGATCAATCGATCTGCCTCGTCACTGCTCGTCACCACATTAATGGGCGGTATCCACGCTACTCGGCTACCGGAAAAAGATCGAAACAGGAATGACGTATCAGATGGCGTTAGTATACGTACCGTTTCTGTACCTTGAGTCGGTACCTGAGAAATACGCGCGCGATACAAATGCGTACGTATCATTTCAGTCAAACCTGAGAATGTACGCACGCGATAGAAAAGCGTACGTATCATTTCCGTATCCCTGAGTGAAATCTGAGAACATTCGCGTACGAAAGAAAACCGAATGATACTATAAGTGACGTTCTAGCGTTCAACTTAGTACGTCACAGATGACCACAGTACAATGAGTACGAAAATGGGATGATACGCAGTACGTCGCGTGCTGTTAGGGAAGTAACATTATGAGACAGCAGAAACGCGGCAGAAATCGATCATGACGTTTGAACGACGTATTGTTTGAACGTAGCAGCAGAAACACGGCAAGAACACAGCACGAAATGTGATTTTTTTTAACGGCTCTACATTTACACCTTAATATATTAAGTTAAATGCTAAATATACAATAGCTAAATGCCATCTAAGTATGTGTTTGCGACAACATATGGAAATATAATGTTATTAAAGTTTCCTTTGATATTTCTCTCTCTCTCTCTCTCTCTCTCTCTCTCTCTCTCTCTCTTTCTACTTTTATATTAAAAAAAGTATATTTAAAAAAGACATTCTCTTTAGATATTAATGCTTTCTTCAGATGAAGCATTAATAAACTTTGAGATAAAGTTCGCGTCATTTTCTGTTATACATCATCACAAGAGAATATACAGTTAAAGAAAGCACGTACTTAGATGGAATTTAGCTACATTATATATTAAGATTATGTTAGATTATAATATAATATTAGATAGATTAGATAAGAATAAATTTGTTTCACACAGCAGAGATGTCCAAAATATATCATAAAGATATCCAAAAGATATATTTGGGATATGTGATATCTTCAAGGTATCCCTATGATGTATTTGGGACATTCTTGCTGTGTGGGATACAGCATATAAAATTTGTATGACACTTATACATACATAATAAATTGCTCAAAGTAATCTAGCAAACACCAAGTTACATAAGTAACTGTCAGTTACAATTTTTCACTCAACAATAACTAATAGCATGTTCGACTGGCTCTGAGTTAACTCATTCTGGGTTATTCAGCCTACGTTTATTGTTTGAACAAGTACTTATAAGCTTTATGATTGGCTAGTAGAGATTTATGACGTCATTAATCGCTCTCGGAGCGATTAACCCAGGGCCAGTCGAACACGCTATAAGTTTACACGGCAGCTTAAAACCAGTTTAGTAACAACCGTATTTAGTAAACTCTCGCATCCGATTGGTATATTCTTTTAGATTTAGAAATATATTCCAATCGGATTCAAGAATTTACTAACTACGGTAGTTACTAAATCGGTTTTAAATTGCCGTGTAAACTTAGTATTGTAGCTGTTTATATTGTCGAGTGAGAAATTATAACTGTTTTGTCCCACAGATAGCACAGAGAATTCTAAAAGAATTCAGTCGTATGTCACCTTCTGGCGATTGATGATTGATGATTGAAGATTAGATTTTGACGAATCAATGAGCTTCAACTTTGGCTTGCTTTGTTCCAATTGGTCAAGTTCCAATCATCATTCGCCAATCGCTAATGTGATACGGGCTTAAGAAAAATCAGCGATTGTGATTGGTCAATTTGGTTTGCTGCTTACGTTTTATTGCGTAAGGGTGCTATTTTACATGTCATACGACAAGCTTTTCGGATATGCTTATTGGTTGGAGAGTATTTCTAGGTTCTCTGTTCGTCAACCAATGAACGTATTCAAAAAGCTTGTCGTACGACACGTGAAATATCAGCCTAAGCATTTCTGTGTGCCATGGCCCTTGCTGCCTCAGTTCTTGCTGTGCGGCAGACGTTTCGTCTCATATATAGAATAGATAGCGAGCAATTTTTTTATTCAATTTATATTACTTTTTTTTTAATTTTATCGCCAGTTGTATACATCTTTTGTGCCTGTTCCTTTGGTTTTTGATTTGGAGTCAATTTTTTGTCGATTACATATTAATGTTGATATTGGTGATTCATGTATGAATCGTTTTCTTTCACTTACACAGAACAATAGCCTAGTGTTAAACAATGATAAAGTTTGTGATAAATTAAATTCTCATTTTAAATTAATGTTGAGTAAAAACAAATATATTAATTATAGTATTTTCTATACTGGGGTGCGTTCGAAAACATCACCCGTGTGTATTTTGTCACACTCAGATCGTTCGAAAACCCCTAGTAGGCACACTGACCATGCGACCATGGCCGTTCGAAAACCGTATTCCGTGGACCACTCGTGTGACTTTTCTCCACTCTCTTTTGCGCGTGTGAATCGGTGGAGATGGTGGAGAGTGCGCAAAAAGTGCAATACAGTATGAAATTACTAAATTATTTATGGTTTTTTGTTCTTCGAAACATTCGTACAACCATTAGCCATCACGGTAAGATAAAAAATTTAAATACAGCAGTGTAGGTTAGCCAGGTTTAGGTTTATTTCTATAGTGATGTATATTGTCAGAATATTGTCTTTAAATATAAATAAAGCTTATTAAGCTTTTTGTATTTTATAGGTTCTGAAATTTTCTTACGAGATACGAGGCACGTTAAAAGTCACGAATCAGTAACAATTTGTGAAAAAAAATGGAAAATTTAATCTCGGGTCGTCATATTTTATGCATGGATATTTAAAAAAATATACAAAAGGATGACAAGGGAAATGTCTATATATACGATGTTAAAGGTAAG